AGTACAGCTTCCAACTCAGATCTGAAAAAAAAATAGCGGATGGTTGTTTTCTGACTGGTCGGCAGACCGCCGACCGATCGGCCCTACTGGTCGGCTGCAATACGGTCGGCGGTCGGGGTCGGCGGTCGGCAGGGATGCAACCATGGTCTGTGCTAAATTTTTGTGTCCCAAATGGGACACTGAACCCAATTTCCACCAGATGTCACTCTCCACCAATAGATTGGAGCCACCCCACTCTGGGCATGCCTACACTAGGCAGTGCTTGTATCACCTCCTCAAGAGCGGCCCGCAACGGCTGTTATTTAACAACAAAGAAAAAGGCAAGAGGGAGACGTGCTGAGTATCACAAGGTCACACACTGAGGGCAAACAACTGTGTCAGACCTGTACTGCCATCAATGCTCAGAGCACTGGGCTGAAACAAAGGTAACGCAAGAAGGATGGATTTCTTTAATGTGATGGTTGTGTGCGATGTAGCCAGCCTGAGTACTCAAATCAAACAGGATTAGCATGATCAATGTTCCTTCTGTAAGTCGGGATGGAGGGTCCACCCCGGACAAAAGAACCCCTCACCCCCTTGGTTACTGTCATGGTGACAGCAATAGACTTGCTTTCATTGTTTTGCAAGTTTCCACTCACACACTCTCTGACAGACACCATAACCAACGGGTCATGATAAACATTTCACATTGACCACACTAACAAGACTTGGCATTTCAGTTTGCTTGCATTTGAGACTGTGTCGCTTTTTCTGTCTGGTGTGGTCTTCCTCCCTTCCCCCGAAGTGCTACAAGAACTACAAGAGAGCTTAAGCCTCCTAACATGACCTGCTGCACATTAAGGTATAAAAACATCCCTTGCGATTGCAGGGTTGGCACTTAGAACTGGGTAGAGAAGGTCAAGGAGAGGCGTTTCGTATATTCCACACCATCCGAGCAGTTAAAACAGAGAGGTTCTGGAATGCAGTACAGCATAGACTTTTGATTCGTTAAGTGTGTAAAATACTCTAAATTCTGCAGCCAGCTGGGGACAACATAACGAGTTACATCCAGGGCATGCCCAATGGCCTTGTCAGGATATCCCATGATTGTGATGGTTCTTCAGACACATCCATAACCCTTTTTTTTTTTTTTTAACCACAAGCCCCTTCTGTTCTGGGGGGCATCAGTCCAGTTGCTTATCACTGCCAAGCATGTTTGTTCGGCAAAGCGGGAGATGAGACGAAAGAAAAGGAACGGCTCAGCCCCTGTGGCTCTAATTGCCTAAACAAGGGGAGGGCCGCAACGTGGCGCCCCTCCCCCAAACCGTTGTCTTGCTTGGGGGCTATTCTCCTGGCCGGGAGGCTTCCTATCAGCACCCACTCACACAGCAGGATGGCCTCCAAGAGGGTGGGACGTGTGGGGGGCGTTCCTAGCAGCTCTTCAGGCCGCATGTTTGCTTACCAACATCCAAACAACCATGACCATTTCAACGACGACATCAATTTTTGCTTTTTCTCACGTGTCCGCCTATTTCCTTTTCACTTCTTTTCTTTTGGTGTTAAATTAAGTAATTGGAGCCTTCCTGCTATACAACCAGACTGACAGTAAACGTGTTCACGCAGCTTCGCATCAATGCAGCTGAACCCAGACTACTGAACCAAGCAAGGACGTTAAAGAGACGATGAAAAAGAAAGAAGAGAAGCTCTCCTGCTCTCAGATTGCTTGGTGCTGCTCGCGCTAGGACCTCCGTCCATGCTGCAAGATACCATTGGGATAGACAATCACATGCAGTTTCTGAGTGTGGAAGAACCCCAAGCTCCACAGCCCAAACAAATCATATTTCCATCAACCACGACCATTTTTACCAGTAAGTTTAGAACACAGAACAGCAATGACTCAGTGCCCAACAGATCCAAAGACAAGGCAGAGGAACGCTCTGTGACAAATTGCCAGACTGTATCCTCACTTTCAAGTTCTGCCATAGATAGTTCGTACATCAGTGGGTTCCTGGAACTTTAGAGAGACTGACTGCGTGTTACAAGGAGAAAAGTACAGCAACTTTCTCAACTTTTGAGAGGCAAACCGCTTGTTAGCATGAGAAACAATGATTTGCTTGTTTGATTACTCCATTAATTATCCATTAATCACTCCTGATAAATTGAACAGAGTAAAGGACACTCAGAAGGAGGATAGAGAGGCCACATGCAGGTCCAGAAGGTGAGATGGTGAAGGAGAATCTACACTCACAGCATCTGTGTAAGCTGAGTTAAAATTCTCTCCGAATCATCGAAGAAAATCCCAACCACCTCACTCACAAAATCTGGATTGTCTGGATCTTGTAACTGCTGCAGTTGTGTGAACTGGTCATCCAAGATGCCCTGCAACATAATAGACAATCAATAACACTCAGTGCATCAAATTTTACCTGTGTGTGGGCAGAGGCAGTGCGACACTCTTCGGGTGGCCAAAGTTTAATAGGGCCGGTCCACTCAACAGGTATACGGTCTCCAGTATATTCCAATGGCCTGGACCACAAGCCAATCTTCGTTTGCTGAGCTTTGGGCGCCAACTGCTAGAGCTCAGAGATTTTAGCATTCTTTACAAATCAATAACTCAATCTTATGGCTAAAAATATATATATGTAATAACCCATGTAGTAAGCCTCATGGAAATTGAGGGCCTCGCCAGGCCACACCCAGGCCCAGGCCGAACAGGGGGAAAAAAGACCCCAGCAAAGATTCAGGGCCTAGACGAGGTACAGTTGACAAAGTCAACTGTCGGAAATTCCAACAGTCAAAGTCAAAGTGTACCCAGCCCAGGCCGCCGGTCGGACACACATCTGTTTGTATGCAGGTACCTAGACGGCATCAGGTCCAAGGGAGAAGACTGCAACTGTACAATCTGGGCCCTCGGCTGAGAGTCAATCTGGACGACTGTGGGAAGAGCACCCAAGGTCAGACACCCTCGACAATTGTTACTTAAGGATGGCCTCGAGTGAGTCAAGCATTCGGTCTTGCTATGCTGCTTTGACGCTGGCTCGACTTTGACTAGACGCTGGCATTATGCTGGCTCGACGCAGGCAAAGACGCTGGCTGTGCACTAGCGATGCGGACGACGGCACAAGGTGGAGGAAACATGCTGGCGCTTTCTGCATTGTGCGCCAGGCTTGCTGAGGTGGCATGCTGATGTGGCGCTACCTCCGGTCTACATTGCATGCTGATGTGGTGCTACCTTTGGTCTACATTGCAAGCTGATGTGGCGCTACCTCTGGTCTACATTGCATGCTGATGTCGCGCTACCTCTGGTCTACATTGCATGCTGACGTGGCGCTACCTGTGGTCTACATTGCATGCTGATGTGGCGCTACCTCTGGTCTACATTTCATGTTGATGTGGCGCTACCACTTGACTACATTCTGATGTGGCGCTTCCATTGGTCTCCATTGATGATGTGTCATTTGCCACCTGTTTCAACTGCTGACGTGGCATTTTCCACGCTGTCTAGATGAGGTGACTGGTTGCGAGGAGGAGGAAGATCGGGATCTGTGGATGAAGGAGGTCGGGTACTCACCTGAGATTGACGTAGTCACTGGAATCTGCTATGACTTCATGGTCTTCACGAGGTTAAGTGACACATGGCACTATTGTGTGTGATCAGGAATATACTTATTATCATTGTTGGCGTGGAGAGGGAAGAAGCCCGAAGAAGAAGAGGGATCTGAAGGGATTATTACTGTTCGCAGCCCGGCAGGGGTGTGTTTTATGCCCCTGAGAACATTTTTCGTCGTCGTTCGTTATACGGTCGTTGGAAGGCTGGAAAATCAACGCATGGCCTGAGAACATTTTTCGTCGTCGTTCGTTATACGGTCGTTGGAAGGCTGGAAAATCAACGCATGGCAGTTTAGGCGGTGGTAACATCTTTTTGAAACTGCAGGACCGGTAGCTGCCCGTGGGACCGCACGGGTTTTGGTCCAGGACCGCGTAGGACCGGTAGCTGCTTGTAGGAGGCCAAGGAGGCCGCAGTCCTTTTTCGAAATTGAAACGGTGAGGGTCCACTTTTCTCAAATAGCAGAGTTCCTCAAACAGAAAACGTACACGTTGTATTCGAATACAACCTGTACCCTTTCTATTCGGATTTCGAAAAGAAAAAACTCTTGTATTCCG